GATTATCCTTAACTGATAAGTCTTCCTCGACGCGTCTATTGTTGGAAACGACTAGATTGAAAGTCACGTGCGACTTCTGTGCAAGGTCGGTCAGGGAGTGTTCCTCACCCAAAACTCGATTAAGGACAAGATTGCTTTGTTCTACATGATTGACCGCGCATTGTTGATCGTTCTTTGTGACAGTGTTGCTAGGGAAAATTTCATTCTGCTTTGAATTGGAGATTTTGGTCTTAATTAGATCTGTCAAGGAGACATTAGTCGCCTCAGTGGCTTTAAGTTTAAATTCAAGAGAGGCAATAATATCGTTCAATTCATTAACTTCACAAGATCTTCCTTTGATTAGAATCGACAGATCAGCTTCCAAGCGCTTGCATTTCTCCCTCTCACTAGAAAGGTCCTTTTCGAGCCGGCTTACTTCATCTTGGTACCGTTTAGTTTCGCTTGGATTAACTTTATCGATCACATTTGAATATTCAAATGTTGTCGAATGTTGAAGCCTGTCCCTCTGAATTAATACTTCGGTTATTTTCTTGTATTCATCAAACTGTAGACGAAGATCTTCGTAACCACTATTTATCTCGTGTAGATTGCTCTCAACTTTGCTTATAGCACTCTTGTTTACTTCTATTTCCCGCTCTGCTATCGTTACATCGAGTTTAATGCCTTCAATCTCGGTTGATAGCTCGCTTAATCGGTTGATAGCTCGCTGCATGATGTCGAAAGACAATTAAAAATTTCATATTTTTATTTATTGACAAATCCTAGTATAGAAAATGCACAATCTTCGCACAATCTTATATAATGTCTATTTAGGCGATTTTCAAACTAGTCCTATCATCACCAGAGAAGGCTAAATAATCGGAAAAAATCACTGAAAATATTTTAATTTTTTGTCAGTTTGTTTCATTTATTAATGCACTTTTAATTAAAAGTCTTTTGCCATACGTCTTGTTATACGTAAAAAAATTATAAAACTATTAACGGACTTTTATCAAACTTTACAAAATTGAAAAATGGACTTAAATTTGGGTTCATTTACCAATTTTGTGGTCTGCTAAATGGAATAATGTAAATCTAGCCTTATCTTCAAATGCTTACATATCGAGAACCACGAGTGCTAAAAAGAATTATATAGAGTATGCGACGTGGTCGCAGGTTGTCAAAGGCGCTGGTCAACCCTTAAATGTACTTTCGGACATAATTTGGGCTTCATTTACTCCAGTTTTGTGCCTGATAAATGGGGTAATATGTAAATCTAGCCTTATCTTCAAATGCTTCAAACGTAATTATTGAGCTTGCTTTTTATTTATCACGAGTAGGTTACCCCATATAGCACCGGAAGTACGAATGAATGTATGTATGACGTCAACAGTAGTGTGATAGTGAACACCCAAGAGTTCGTATATAGTGTACGCCCAAGAGTTTGTACTTAATGTACGCCCGTACTTAGTGTACGCCCACCAACCTATATGAACATGGCTTTGTGATTGGTTGATCATAACAATAAAAGACAATGAACTATAGCAATTATCTTTCTAATGAACTAGGCATACACATGTACACTGATCACTATTATATTTTTTTCATGAAGCCAATCACAAAACACAACATTTTAGGTTGGTATTTACTCTATTTATGCAAATATGCGTGTTTTTAAAATCATTTCAACCGTAACCATGGTACACGATTTCCATGTGATTGCAACCGCTCTGCAGTGTTTGGCGTTTTTGGGTAACATTTTATTCTCCGTGGATATACCTGTGCTGAGTAGAGGTATTAAATTGTGAGAAGAAGAAAGATATATCAGGTTAAATAACGAAATAAACCATGCACTGTTAACCGCGAGTTATTACTTGAAAGTTTCTGCAAATTATTATTCCTGACAACAGCTGCATGCCCCCAAGGAAACATCCCAAGGGCACATATGGAGAGTGTTGTAATCACAACAGAAATTGCTCATTAATACAGTATATATAAATTTAAACACACAACACAGCCTCGAATACGTCTTCTCTTCTACGATATAATTAAATGCCAGTATACTTCACATTTCCATCCTTGGTGACGATTTAACTACAAATAAAAACGTGAACTTAAATACACGATACAAACGATCGCCTAAATAACAATGTATCTTTCTTTATCAAATGCAATATGAATGTCGATCATAAGTATTTACTCATGATAACTGTATTTGTCCACATAATACGGTAGTAAATTAAATAAATGTACACGATGTTCTGCAATTCTTCAAATGTGAAGTTCTTCAAAACAAAACGTATATACAACGTACGAAAACGAGAGCGCCAGCGAACATCATTTCACTACTTCATGATACCGACATTATGTCGCAACAGAGAGTATTGTTTTCCAATCTTGTGCGTTCGGCATTCATGCAATGGTCGGGACTTTTTCAACGAACGGGAGAAAGTGCACTGAGAAAGTGTCGAGTCCTTTCCGTGTATATTGTACGTGATGTAGGCCCAACAGTTTATTCGCAAACTAAGACAGGAGACAGAAGACAGATTCACAATCCTTTTACTTTCCGTTCCATTTACTGAGTAAATTAACCATGCATTTTGAAAGCGAGTCTGTTAGTGAGTGAGAGTTGTATAGACTATTATTATTCCTGGGAAAAACATGCGGCCAATCTAATAACCCAAAGCTAAAGAGAGCTAACTTCCCTTTCTGTAAATATAATTGCATTGTATATAGCATTATAGGACACTTCAAGTTGCTCAGTCAAAGCTAATCATGCGCCATGTACTTTAGATTTGTGTAAAAAGATTATTATGAAGCTATTCTTCGGTTGACAAATAGTTGATTTTAATTAGTTATGTGTGGATGTCCCAACAAAAAGTGACACTATACAGGGTGTCCCAAAAAACCCGGAAACTATTGAAATCACCAATAACAATTTAATTGTTAGAATTTGAATGCCTTAGCGCTCTGTTGGTTCCCACGAGTGCATAAATGATTGACAGAAGTAAATTTTATGCATAAAGAAACTGTTTAAGAAGCTGTTTTTAATTCCCAGGAGCAGAAAATCGCGCACTTTACTAGGAGATATTCCTAACTAAATTCTAATACAGGGTGTCTCAAAAAAAACCAAAATCATTGAAATAACGTATTGTTCGAATTTCAATGCCGTAACACAAAGGATTTTGACAGGGTGATTAATTTGTTTTAAAAAATTAAAATATCTTTGTAAAGTGAACGTTTGTTTGCTCATGGGAATTTAAAATGCTTCGTAAATTGTAATATGCGTAATATGCATTCGTGGGTTTAGTACTTTATGCCTGACATAACAAGTTTACGCTGAGTATTACCATTCATTATAGCAGTTATGTCAATCCTTTATGCACTCGTGGGATTAACTTAGTGCTAGGGCATTGAATATCGAACAATACGTCAATTTCAATGATTTTGGGTTTTTTTGAGACACCCTGTACATGCACCTTGTCAATATTTTACGCATCATTACGTCCAGCTGTTTGGTAGGGCATTCAAATTTAACAATAAGTGATTTCTATAGTTTCCGGTTTTTTTGGGACACCCTGTACAGTATACTGTAAGTAAGCACAGGATTTCGTGCGCCTGGTAATTAAAAATTATATTCAATTGTGTTTACGCACTCTTGTTTTCTTCCTGACAGGCATTCAAATTATAACAACAGCACACTTCTACAGGGTGTCCCCAAAAAAGTGACACTACTGTATAGAAATTATCTCATTGTTCTTAAGCCGCTCTTAAACACGCATGATTACACGCCTGGGAATTTAATGAACTTGTATTTAATTTAAAATAAAACGTTTTCGCTTTGTCCAAATATTTTAGCGCCCGAGTCAAGCAAAACGATTACACTAATAAACGGTTTGCTTTTTTTATTTTAAATTCCAGAAGCAGAAGTTTAATATGCACATGTGGGATCAACTTAATTCTAGGGCATTCAAATTATAACAATATATAGGATAATTTCTATAGTGTCAATTTTTTGGGGGGCACCCTGTATAGTGTCACTTTCTGACGATTAGAATATATTAGTTTACTCGCTAGACGAAAATTCATGCGTCTCGACCAACCAGCAACTACAGCAAGCATGGTTTTAAGAGTTCCGACACATAAGTACGTTTGTTTTGGAACGTCATGTGGTGATCGTATACGTTTGGCTGACAAAAATTCATAAGTTTTCGTCTCGACCATGCAATAAGCAAGCGCGGAGTTTAAACGCGTTTGTCGTTCATTTAATGAAGCTATTCGTACGCTTTCGTTGAGTTGTGCATGCCAACTAATATACAAGTGTCAAGTCCATTTATAGCGTATTGTAATTCTTTGAATAAAAAAATATTGAATAAAAAATGCATTTTAAAAACATTACTCTTTGTTTTGCTTGAGAATCTTGATTCACAAACAGCGAGCTATATTGGATCGGTCATTGATATCATATCACTTCAATTTACGAAGGATTTCATGAGCCAAACTAAAAGGCTATTGAAACTAAATGATGTCTTTTGTAATAAGACCCTGTGTAAGTGAATCTAATTCCGAGGATTAATCATAAAAAATCATGTACTTTATGTATTTTATATAATCTTTGGAATTCTGCAAAATCTCACCCCAAAACGCTTGAATTCCGCATTTCAGGGACTCTAGATTTCAAAATTTAAGCCGACTTGATTGATTTTGCGATCACTGTAGTGTTAAACATGTTTTATGCATTTATCTAGCGACACACTTCGGGGATACAGACAATAGTCGATGTAATGTTATTGATCAGTTGCAGCACTTTATACCATAAGGATTCTCCTTGTTAAATGCGAGTTTATGCGTAATATTTCACACGATATTGGAAGAAATCATATCAAAGGTATTGGTACGAACATGTAGCAGATTCACTAAAACATTTCTGCTGTTTACCTTGCTGTAAAGCATACAGGACGTGATGCGAAATTAATACCAGAAGTTGAATTGGCCATATTTAATTTCGCGAACACGTCGTGTTCACTGTTCGCGAAATATGGTTGTAGACTGTTTAATTTTTATAGTAAAATCACTAACCTTGTGTCACTTGCGAATACCTGAAGTCACTTCTTTCAACGACCAATAAAGACGAGCTTAATACAGCTGCTGGGATTTCACGAACTTGTGAGACTGCGATTGTGAGAGGCTATCTTTAAAACAGGGAAAATGGGGAATCCGGGAATCGGGAAATCCGGGAATCACGGAATCAGGGAATCCGGGAATCGGGAAATCCGGGAATCCGGAAATGGCGGAATCCGGAAATTGTGCTTAATTTATAGTAATAATTATTTTATATTTAAATTAAACTGATAAGGTCAGGTCACGGGGATATTGGCGTGCTTGTTGGAAAACGAACGCATTTGTTTAGAATAATATACAGACGATGAACACACAGTGTACACTGCGAATCATTTGTCTTATTATATAGTTCATGCTTATAATACAATATAGATGTGTAACAGGCAGGGACGCTGGAATTGGGGGGGCAGGGGGGCGGCTGCCCCCCTTGCCTTTTGCTAGGGGGGGCAGGGGGGGCAGAAGTGCCCTTTTAGTTGTAAAATAATACGTGATAAATCACATTTCCAACGATGCTTTTTGTAGGAAAATCACGAGATTCAGGTAATTTATAGTTTATATTTATAAAAATTTTGGGAAATTTTTGGAATTTAGAAAAATATTTTGAAGAAATGG